CTGCCGCGTCTTCCCACCATGACTTGATATGGGTGGGGTTTGCATGTTGCTGTTGTTGGATTTGAGTGAAGTTTTCCCACATGAGGATTTGATCCCAAACCGCCTTTGCAAAAGGGCAACAAAGGCATAGGTGGAGGCTTGTCTCTAAGGGTCCATTGCACATCACGCACTGTTGTTGGTGTGGCAACCCTCTCTTTTGTAGGTTTTGTGCCGTTACAATTTTGTCTTGCACTAAGATCCATGCGAAGATCTTGCATCTGTTCTCCACATGCGCTTTCCAAATCAAGTCCGTACCGAAGGGGAGGAGCGAACCTCTGAATTGGATTCTGTAGGCCGATCAGGTGGAGTAATTCCCATCGTTGGTCCAACGCCAGGTGATGGTGTCCTGGACGCCCTGTTGCAGGTGCACATCCTGTATACGTATCCAGAGGGACACAAACTCCTCTATGTGGATGGCTGAGGTGATTTTCCTTCCAAGTTTATGCATCCAATTGTTGTTCCGGAGCTCTTGCTGCACCGTTCGGTTTGTCGTTGAGAGTAGGCGGAACAAGTTGGGGGCTAGGTACTTAGGAGCTTGACCATCGAGCCAACCGTGGTGCCAAAACTTTGTCTTTGCACCATCCCCCAAAGATATAATGATTGAGGAGTTGAAGAGGAGGCGGTCATCATCAGAACATGGAAGCTCCGAGCCGCTCCAAGATTTGGACTCGTCCACCCATTCTTGCCATAGCCATTGCAACCGGAGGGCTCGCCCAAATCTTTCGAGGTCAGGGACGCCTAACCCGCCCATGTCTTTCGGTCTGGTAACCGTTTGCCAGTTAACTAGACAGTGGCCACCATTTGCATTCTCGTCCCCCTTCCACAAGAAAGATCTCCTTATTTTGTCTATCTTTTTCTTAGCCCAAGTGGCTAGAGGAAACACTGTTAGGTGGTACGTTGGCATGGAGGAGAGGACAGAGGTTACAAGAGTGAGGCGTCCCGCTCTGTTTAGCAATCTTCCTTTCCATTTGGGTAGCCTGTGCCCAATACGGTCTATGAGAGGTTGCACGTGGATCCTTTGTAGTGTTCTAATGTGTAGTTGAAGGCCCAAGTATTTGCATGGGAAGCCCCCTCTAGTACCGGTGAAAGGTGCCAGGACTTGGTCTAGGTCAACGTTTGCACAACCGATTGGATGTACTGAGCTCTTTTGTAGGTTAATATGAAGTCCCGAGAATGTGCCAAAAGCCCGCAGGATGATTTTGACGGCCTCCACATCGTCTTTTGTGGGGTTGACGAAAATGGCTGCGTCATCTGCATACATTGAGGTTCTCCATTTTGCCGCCGTGATTGGTAATGGGGTGAGTATCCCCTGTTGGGTTGCCAGGTCAAGCAACCGTTGAAGCGGGTCCATGGCTAGGATGAATAGCATGGGGGAAAGCGGATCCCCCTGGCGGACGCCTCTGGCATGGCTAAAAGTGGCCCCCAGTCGCCCGTTCAGGATGGGTGTCGAGGTGGATGTACGTAGGAGGATGGAGATCCACTCACGCCATCGCTGTCCGAAGCCCAGAGCCTGAAGAGTCTCGAGCAAGTACCCCCAATGTACCGTGTCAAAGGCTTTGTGGATGTCTAGTTTCATGAACAAAGCCAGAAGCTTATGCTTGTGTAGTCTTTTTACCGTGCCCTGGATGTACAGAAAATTATCATGGATGCTTCTGTTTTTTATAAAAGCGCTCTGGCAGTTCGAAACAAGGGAGTTGAGTCGAGGGGCAAGTCTGTTAGCTAACACTTTGGAGAAGATCTTTGCAATACCATGGACTAAGCTGATGGGTCTAAAATCAGTAACTCTTGTTGCATCGGGTTTTTTGGGTAGAAGGATAATGGATGCCGAGTTTAGCCATTCGAAGCCCTGGGCATTCAAAGTGAATAAACTATTCATTGCCGCCATAACATCTTCTTTAATGGTTTCCCAGCAAGCTTTGAAGAAGGCACCCATGAAGCCATCCGGTCCTGGCGCTTTGTCAGAAGGCATTGAATATATAGTGTTTTTTATCTCTTCCTGGGAGAAAGGCACCTCCAGGTTGGAGAGATCATGTTGATTGTAGCCAAGGGATTGCCAGTTTATGGTGGCAGCTCTCGGGACCGCGGAGCTGATGTGGTTTGTAAAATAACCTTGTATCACCTTTTCTATGGTGCAATTTTCAGCGTTGCAGAACGTCGAAACGAAATTATCTGATTGAAGTGCCTGAAAATACAAGGTTCTTTTTTTTCAGAGTGAAGTATTCTGATTGAAGTGCCTGAAAAATACTAGGTTCTGTTTGTCCACACAATTTTGATTCGTCCATCTCTTTTATTCTTATTTTTTTATTCAAAAAGCAAGTTGAAATGATTTATTACATGTGTCGGATAGACATACTTTCTTTTCATGGGAATTTTTAATTTCCCGGTGCCCGGACAAAACTAAGTATTGTATTTATTTAATTATTTTCATAGTTACGGAGGGGTCAGGTTACATTCGGGCATTTTGGCACATTCAATTGGACGTTTGGTGAAGCCAATGAACTCAATCGGACCTTTTTTTCCCCTTTTGAACGGGAAGGCGAGCCTAACTTTAACTGACCGTGAAAGCAAAATCTGAAGACAATCAGCCTGTTGAGGATAGACGGAATGCCAACGATTATCTTCCCATTAGCACAGGGAGTAGTAGCATGAAAAATGAGATCACTGAGGTGCTGACTTTACTGATCTATATCGAATCTATAATGTCGAAAATGAGAGAAAGGCTGATTGCTGGGCGAGGCTCAGGACCAGAGCAGTAGTGCTGCTGCTGCTACACGAGGCGAGGCCATGCCAGGCCAGGCGGAATCTCTGCTGATGTGCGCAGCGCTCCACGTACAAGTAAGGCTTCCCAAGAATGAGTGATCAGAGCATCTCTAGTGCGTCGCTCCCTGTCCCAAGGCATGCTTTTGTTCCCAACGCCTCTCAAACCCACAGCAAATCCTTCCTCTACTCTAGGATAATTATCATGTCCTCCCATGCTTTGCCTTCTACTGTATCGAGAATACTTATCCGACAACGGAAATTATCATGTCACTGTTATGTGTTATTCACTTCCTATCCTGCCTGTGTGAACAACAATGGCAGTCTCACATGCTCTATGCCACCTTTTTATTTTGCTGTTCTCTGGGATGCATTTATATAGTAGTGAACTCAATGAGTGCAGTTATGCATACACCTAACAAGACCAGTCAGATATATATATGGTCCAAAAGCACTGGATCACTTTTCTTTATAAATCAAGAGGGTGCCCTCCTGCTGTATATTTTTTTTTGTATATTGGAGTTTAGGAGTTATTACAATGAAACTCAAGAAACCAAGAAAGAGAACACAAAATTGTGGACAAGACTATCCAAAAAAAATGTTATCAATAGAATACTCTGTTTGTTAACCTGAGATCAATTGTTCTCGGCCTAGGCAAGTGTTCCCATTGCACAGTTTTTCTTCAAAAAGATCTGCCTGCAATTAATTACCCCCTGACACAACTCTTTCTATATTTCAGGTTTAATCTAAAGGCTGCATAGGCTATATGGTCTTCTCAAAAGTTCTGTTCCATAGTCCACGGCTACAACGCCAATCCTTTCTTACAAGGTAACAATTTTTTCGCCCATGATTTCTTCGTAATATCCTGCACCATTTGTCAATACAACACTTTACTGATTCTTTGGCTTACCTACACAACAGTCAATTGCTCTACGTGGAAAGGACAGAGGATTGATTCCTGAATCTTCTGGTAAATAGATATGAAATATTAATTTTTCCCTGACATTCATGTTCGTCCTTCATAGCACTAATACCATTATTTTTGTTCCTTAATGCACTTTTGCTATTTTATTAGGTCTAATTTGTAGTGACGCCAACATCATAGTAAGGCCCACATAGGGTCTGTGCCCTTTATACACAATTCTGTTACCTCCATGATCCATAGCACTACACTACACTCTTTTGTTTACCAGGTAATAATCCCCATCACATTCACCCCCAAAAGATTGCTATCAATAGAATACTCTGTTCGTTAACCTCCTTTACTTTTAGCATCAGATTTGGATATGTACACAGGGACCAGTAGCTTCAGGTGCAAATTAGAGCAGATTTTGACGCTTTTTTCTTGAGCACATATGCAAGATTAGTATGTTCCCAACATCGCAAATTGTCCATTGTAGCACAAATACTTCTTCCATTTGTAGTCATATTCTCCATGTACAAAGTATGTCATTATTTGTTATCTGTTTCTACACGGTTACGCGTCCTTATGTGTACCCTTACATAACTCATATCAGTTCACTTCTTTGATACTTCTTTGAAATTTTCTTTGATCTTCAAATATTGCTTAATCCATGCCCCTCCTGCAAGACAACTAAATGTTATGTTTGAATCATAATTGGCTGATACATACCACCTTTATCACTGCATCTAATTCTGTTGTATGTATATTGTCAGCCCGCGCGCAGCCCAGGGTTACCCACTAGTATATGAGATTTCCTAATCCTAGCATATAGCATTGGAAAGGATGAAGTAGCCTATTCAAACGTTTTGTCCTCCACAACGCCTTGAGATTAAGGAGAATGCGGCAGACAATTGGTGAGTTAACTGTGAACGTGATACTGACAAATTTATTCATGAAACTACACAGACGCCATTGTTTTCAATACATATTTTATGTTGATAACAAATGTTCAGCACTGAATATGCCTAAAAATCAACTAATCTGCAGGACAAAGCAATAGAGTAATGATATATAGGATGCCGCTAGCTTAGTAGCTTTATACTAACTTATTTATAACTAGGTTTCACATATGCCTAGTTTCTTACACAACAATGATTTCACTAGCAGTGACACTTAAACAACAACATGAAAGCACACATTAAAAAATACCTCATCTGACATACACCTTGACAGTAACAACTCTAGACGTTCACAGCTCAAGTTTACACTGAGCTTCTTACATCTCCGATGGTTGTCATGTTCAACGGATGTCCAATAGCTGTTTAGCACTTGCCACAAGTGAGGATAAAGGTTCACCTTCCTCCATTAGCCCTACATCACCCATGAAGATGGTGTAGTTCTCAGCCTCTGAGATGGTCTCCTCCACCATCGATAGTACCTCTATCATGCGGAGATTACGGAAACAATTAACATTACTAGAGTCATACATCAACTTTAGAGCTTGTTCAAGTATCACTCTCCTGATCCCAGGGCAATCAGCATTAGGCTCCATGTTCACATTCAACGCATCGACAAGCCGCTTCACAAATGTTACCTTAATCTGACCATACTCAAAATCTCGAGCGAACTCCTCTGGGATGGCTTCATATATATGTGAACTAAGGGCAATGAAGATTTCTAGTTCTTCACCTTCTGCACGGAGTATTCTTTCTAGCACCTATCATGAAAAGAGGAACATGAAACATAATCTGAAATATTGCAGTTACACTACACCTAATTAGTCAAGTGTTAAATATATTACCCTACAGTGAAATATTATGATATCTGAGGTAAGTCTCTTATTGCAAATTATAACTCCTTTTAGTTTTGTCACAAGTCAAATTCCTCTGCTTTGATCATTAGTCTAGAAAAATGTGTTAACAATTGTACAAATTAAAATAAATGCACTGTTACAATATTTCTTAAAGAGTTCAATGAAACTGAATTGATATCGTAGATGTTGATACATCTTACATAAACTTGACTGAAGTTAGAAAAAAATGATTTATGCTAAAATTAAAGAGAATATAATTTGGAACGGATTGAGTAGCAGATTGGATTAGTTTCTTTAGAAAATGGAAACATGTTTCAGCCTTTGCATAGTTTGCACATTGCACACATGACACATAGTAGCTTGGATTAGTAGTGCTCACCATCGGTGAGATGTAAGATAGTTGCTTCAAGTCCGTGTCTTTGAGCTCAGGTCGAGCGTGCATGCACACACTCCGCAACAAACTTGCTGCAACACATCTATACCTTTCAACATGGATCATGGTTGTGAGTTCCTCAATGAATGAATAGCCTGTTTGCCTTAGCATAGTCAGGCAGTTGTCGACATTGCCTATTGCCAACATTGCTAATGCTTGTCCTGCGACCTTCCTTAGGGCTTCTCTGGAGTGAGAAACACTTGCACCTGTGCTACTGGAGGGCTCGTCTAGAGTGAGAAACGCATGCATCAATCTTGCAATGATCCTTTAGACACGCCCAATCGCCTGTCTCATGCTGGCATTAATAGCAAGGTTTCTAATAATTCCTGCCGCCAACTTCCTCGTCTCATAGTTGCTTGTGATGTCTCCCAAGATCTCTGAGAGATTTCTCAAGAGAAAGGGATGCCTCGATATCTTCTGCCTCAGTGTTATGCCCATCTCCCCATCGATGCTTGTGAGCCTGTAGAGTAGCTTCAATGATGATTGAACAAGGACCTTCTTTTCAGTGTCAGTATATTTGTTGTCACTTGTGTAAAAGCTTGTGAATCTTGTGATCTTCCAGATGAGGTCGGTCGCTTTGTTGATCTTTGCACAATTGCTTTGATCATAAGTAGCTAGGCTTTGAATAATTGACATACCAATTACTGGAAGAAGATCTTGCTCTGTCAGTGGTCCTTCCTGGGGAACTGAACAGAATTCAGAAACTTGTTGCCATCGTCTGGCTATCCAGGAGTTGTGTTCGTAACTACCAATTTGTTGTGTTGAGCCCTCTTGTGTTTTGAGAAGATTACCACTGTTCGGAATTTCATCTCCCTTTTCCATTTGATTACTAGTGGTACTGGTATTTAGAAATACCATATCATCATTATTTTGCTCTTGTTCGTCATCTGCGTCCAGAAGTGGGTCACTATTGGATTCAGGTTCTTTGCCGAGTGCCTGAGGCACTCGGCAAAGGCTATATTGCACTCGGCAAAGGCTTTGCCGAGTGCGGCACTCGGCAAAGCACACACGGCAAAAAATTGATCAGCAAAGCACTCTTTGCCGAGTGTATTTTATCGGGCACTCGGCAAAGGCTTTGCCGAGTGTCCCGGGGGCACTCGGCAAAGAAAAGCGACCGTCACGGCGCCGGTCCCGTTGACGGTCACTTTGCCGAGTGTCAACCGTGCAGGCACTCGGCAAAGATTTTTTTAATTTTTTTTAAAAAATTTCTTTGCCGAGTGCCAACCGGTGAGGTGCTCGGCAAAGATTTTTTTTAAAAAATTCTTTGTCGAGTGCCAAACCGTGAGGCACTCGGCAAAGAGCTTTTATTTTTTTTTGAAAATTTTCTTTGCCGAGTGCCAACCCTCCAGGCACTCGGCAAAGATTTTTTATTTTTTTTAAAAAAATTCTTTGCCGAGCGCCAACCCGGAAGACACTCGGCAAAGAGCTTTTATTTTTTTTTGAAAATTTTCTTTGCCGAGTGCCAACCCTCCAGGCACTCGGCAAAGATTTTTTATTTTTTTAAAAAAAATTCTTTGCCGAGCGCCAACCCGGAAGGCACTCGGCAAAGAGCTTTTATTTTTTTTGAAAATTTTCTTTGCCGAGTGCCACCCCTCTAGGCACTCGGCAAAGATTTTTTATTTTTTTTAAAAAACTCTTTGCCGAGTGCCAACACGGCAGGCACTCGGCAAAGTTTAATTTTTTTAATTTCTTTGCCGAGTGTTATAGTCACAGCACTCGGCAAAGCTGGAAAATCTGGTTTCTGGTCGCCCATTTTGCCAGCTTTGCCGAGTGTTGTGACCATTGCGCTCGGCAAAGGGGTCCTTTGCCGAGTGCAACACTCGGCAAAGTGACCCAAAATGGCAATTTTTTTTGCATTCCATCATGACAAATACATTCATACAAACATATATCACATATATATCTCATCCATCACATATATATCTCATCCATCCGCCCATATCTCATCCATCACAATATATAATAATAAGTGCTCAAGTCCATCCAAATAAGTTTACAAGTCCATCAAAGTCCATAAGTGCATCACAAGTATATCACAAGTCCATCACCAAGTGAACAACAAATGTAAAAAATACAACATGCACTCATCTCGGCCACTGCGACTGTGGTGAAGGCCCAGATGCATCATTTGTAGGTGCATGAGGTGGATTATTCGAACCACCGTCAGATGGAGACTGCACAAAGGAGAAAAGATTGCATGTGAGACAAGATTATTTTGATAGCTAATCTAAGACGATAGAGGCCATACAAGCAAAGCACAAGCGAAAGTAAAAAACTTTGATACTCACAGGAGTAGCTGCAGCTGCAGGACGCGGAGGCGGAGGTGGAACCAACAGCCCAGGTGGCAGAGACAAGCCCATACGTTGCCCAAGCCCTTGTAGGAAATCCGTAATGTCCATCAGCCTTTGCGCCTGGGCCTGCCGCTCGGCCTCCAACTGGGCCCCCAGCTCCTGACGTTCCTTCATTTCTTGTTCCAGCCGGGCCTGCAATATTTCACTCCAATGTTTCAGTAATGCAAAGCTAATTAAGGTGTGTAAAGATCAATGTATGACGAGTAAAACAGAATAACCTCGAGTGCATCGACCCGGTCTTTGTCACGTGATCGGCCGGCCGTGTCGATTGGCGGGCTCTCGCTCGTCGTGCTCGTGCTCGGATCTGGGAGAGAGGGAGTAGAGGCCGTGTCGATGACGCCGTCGCCAAGCCGTAACCGCCCATGCTTCTTGCCTTGCCCCGCCTCATGACGGCCTCTCCATCAAGTCCTAGGTGCTCGGATCGTGGTTCGCCCCATGGAGCGACCTCGCCACCTCGGTGTACTCACACGATGCGGGAGTGGACGCCGGGTTCGTATGCCTCGGCGCGGGTCCTCCAGTTGAAGGAGACATCGGACGTCGCCTTACCCTTGTGGGCCATACACCATGCCCGAAGTCCGAGCAAGCCTCGCCACTATGTGTGCGCCGATCGAGAAAAAGATAGCACGATAATTAGAAATCGATGTAATCGAGCGTGGCAATAGAGAAATCAATTCGCGTACCCATGCTTGTTTGTATCCGCGAGGTTGCGGCTGCCTTGATGGTGTGCTGGACCTTGCATCAAGAACGACGGTCCCGGGCATCCCAATGCATCTTGAGGTACTCCTCGTGAACCACACGCCCCACCATCATCGCCCAAAGACTCGGGATACGCTTGGCACCACCAGGAATCACCTACCTACGTCATCAAGTATTGGACATATAAGAAGATCAAATTAAACCAACTTAATCTCAAATCGAATCAATATTGATGTTCTTCATTTACCTCAAAGTACTTGATCCCGGTCACCGTGCATCTCTCTTGCGTCTTTCTTGGTTTTCCTCTCTCAAGCTTCAACCCGTAGTAGGTTACGATGGCACGGATGTGCGCCTCATGATGCATGTCGGTGACGAGTTTTTACAGCTTTGGTAGTCGCCGCTCATCCGCCTCCTCAAATCCTCCTCGCATCTCGTAATAAGTCCGCATACAAAAGCGATGTATCGATTCATTATTTCAAGAAAAGTCCAATGAATACGACGTATTGAGCAATGTTGTGCAAGGGAGACTTACCCAAAACTCTGCCTTCACCCGCGCCGCCTTGTTGGGGTACTCCGCATCGGAGGCGACAACGTAGTGGTCAAACGAGTAGGCCGGCTCCATCTTCGATGCGTACGTGACAATGCCGGGGAAGTGCTGCCTGCACAGAAGACCCAGGATGCCGTTGACTAGCCGTGCGCTACCACCCGACACAACCACCCAGTTCCTGCACAAGTAATTAAGAAAAATTATTAGTTTTTTTCATCATATCATATGAAGTAGTGGTGATAACATATACAGTTACTTACTTTTGTCCTTCGGGGTGAATCACTGGGCGTTGGTGAGGAAGCGGAACATGTGGGAGGCTCGCGGGACCTCGCAAGTAGACACTCGAAGAGGAGTTGGAGGAAGCGGAACCTGTGCCTGCCGCCTCCCCCCCTCCTCCTCCTCCTCCTCCTCCTCCTCCTCCTCCTCCTCCTCCTCTCTGCCCGAACCAACTCCTCGTCTCGACTCGTCCCACAGGCGCCACCTCCTCCTACTGGCCGGGCGTCCTCCTCCTCATGTGGCGTGGGAGGAGACGGCCCCCTCCTGCGGCTAGCGGTCCTCCTCCTCTTGTTTGATCCCTCTGCCGCCCCCTCCGCCCCTCCTACGACCGGCGTGGTCTTTGGTAAATCGAGTTCACAGACCTATGACGGTCGCCCGCCATCTTTGTTCAATCACCTGCAATAAAAAAGAAAAACAAGACGTAATTAGAAATAGGTACAAAAATAAACAAAACATAATTACAAAAAACATAGTATTACATGTATTAGAAATATATGCAAAAATGAACAAAACATAATTACAAAAAACATAATATTACATGTATTAGAAATAATCTTCATGATTGAAATTAGCTAGATCATAGGTCTCGTCATCACTATCAACATTGTCCAACTCATCAACACTATCCGAAGGAGGAATGTTGTCTTCATTGTCATTGCCGAAATGTAATCGCTCAAGCATTTGTATGTCCTTCAGATTTCGCACCTCGTCTCCAGCGTCCTCGTCATCATCCCTTTCATTATCTACTTCCATTCCTATCTCTTCGGTTAAGTCTATGTCAAACCTCCCTTGTAGCCCCTCTTCTTGATAGAACTCTCCATCATATGTGTTTGGGTTGAAGTTGTAATCTTCATCCTTTGGGATAGGTAGTTTACCGTGTGGCGATACCTTATGCACAATAGACCAACCCTTAAGATGCTCGGCGTCTTTGCACGCGTATGACGTATAAACCTAGATGGCCTGTTGAGCCACAATGTAGACATCTTTTCCTGGATGGACGGAATCCTGTCGAATCTCGACTAGCCCAAGCTTAGGGGTCCATCTCGTTACACCAGGATGAAACCAGTGGCATTTGAATATGACAGGAGTAAGAGGTTTGGAACCATAAAATGATAGTTCGTAGATTTCTTCAATTCTTCCATAATAGTCGAGTCCATCAGTGCCGGGCGTAACAACTCCGCTGTTTGTGGTTTGTCGATTGGGTCGACTATGCTCATAGCTTGCTGTGTGAAAACGATATCCATTCACGTCATAACCGGTAAATGACTTGACCCTAACGGCACAGCCATTTGCAACCTGTCTTAACTCATCACTTATAGGCGCATCAGTTTGGGCTTTCTGTTTGAACCAACAAATGAAATCGGGGCTCCCTGGTCCCGCACCCCATGAAAGAAGGGTATCATTTTCTTGCGGGGTAGGTTGCCTTGATCCATGCTAGGATTGACGAAGAAATTCCTGCACTAACGAGAAACAAGGGGTTGGACGACGAAACAAGGACATACAATGAAATGAAACAAGTTCGTTTAGAACATACCGAATGAATGGTTGCACCTCGACAAGGTTGGTCAACACATATAGCATGATATCGCGCCACTCTTCATTTTTTTTTCAATTGCTTAGTGGTCGATGCACTTGCGCTTCCAAGTTGCCCTTGGAAAAGGCCGAGGTTCGATTCATTTTCGCCAACATTGTAATGAGGGGTGGATTATGAACGTTAGGAAGTTTCTCGATGTAGTATTTCTCTGTGAAGTTCGACACCTCCTCTAGAATGTATGCCTCTCGCAATGGAAGCCTCAATTCGGCTTTATTTCTACATTTTTGTGAAGAGTCTTGAGACATCTCTCGATTGGATAGCACCAACGGTTCTCAAGACGGGGCCCCCCATCCGTGCCTCATACGGAGGTGCACAATCAAATGTTTGCATCGACAAGAAGCGGTGGGTGGAAAGATCTTCTCTAACTTATAGAGCAACACGGGTGCCGCTTTTTCCAAGTCATCAATGACGGTCCGAGAGAGC